GGCGCTCCTCCCGGCCCCTGTGCACAGCGCCTGGGACCGCCCCGGACAGGAAGCGCTACCTGTGGGAGCGCTACCAGGAGGCGAAGAGGAGCACGGACGGTGAGTGCGGCGGCGCCCCCGAGCCCCCGGAACCTGGGGGGCCTTCCCGCCGGGCTGCGGCGCCAGGTTCCCTCCGAGGCGGTCTGCCGGGAAGCGGGCACCCTCGGCCCGCGCAGGTCCCCCTGTCGTGACCCTCGGTCGCCCCCACCCCCCACTGTGGGGGACCTCGCCTCTGCAGTGCCATTGCGGGAGACGCGGAAAAATGCGCCTCTAGGAACTTTACAATTCTTGCCTTTCTGCTTATCCGGAAAGCTGTTTTATAAATTCTTGGGATGTTTTAGCCGGCAATCTGTATTGGAAGCGCTTTGGGCTCTCCCGGGGGGTCCACAAGACATCGCTTGGGAGGCGGTCACCCTCCCGCACCGTTAGGTATTGTTATTAACAAACAGTAATAATAGTAACAGCCCGAGTCCGGCAGGCGGCGGGTTACCCTGGAGCCGGGCTGCTGGGCAGGTGACAGTGTCCAGAGGCTGATCTGTTTTCCTTCTTTTTTTTTATGGGATGGGATAAGATTTGCTGTGTTTGAAATAGGAGGGGTCCGGGATAGGAGTGTTCTGGGCTGTCTACTAACCTCAGTGAGGAGAGGATTCCGGGAGTGACTCCTTTGTGGCCGGGTGAACATAAAGTCAGCTTGGGTCGGTTGTTACTAAGGGAAACGGGGAGAGAGGGAAAGAGAACCGAGTACATACTAGTGCCAGGCACAAAGATTGTCTCCCTCAATTCTTCCCATACCTCCAAGGGAGGTGCTGCATCCCCATCCTGTAAATGGGGAAGGCGAGACTCAAGGTTAAGGAACCTGGCCAAGGTCACACCTTGACCTCTGGTCTGTCTCAGCCCCTAACCCACTGTCCTGTTTCATGCGCTGCTCTGCCTTCCAGTAGCAGCTGACCATTTGGGAACTGGTGTAAGGCCCAGTGATAATCCATTGGTGCTGCTTCTTTCAGGGAAGATTTAGAATCCTATTTGTATACTGATTTTTTTGGGGGGAGGGGTGGAGGTGGCACATAGAAATAGGGAGAGAACATTTGGAGGGAGAGAACTTTTTGCAGGATCACATTTTCCATCTTTTGGCGAGAAGTCAGTCTAATGAAAGAAGGCAAGAGGCTTATTTTCACCAATTGGAATAATTTTCTGAGGGAACTCAAAGTGGCTTACAATGCAGGATTCTATGAAATAGGGCTTATTTTCTTGGTTTTCCTTGGCTCAGAGTTTCTTTTGCATCAGTTTTTGAAGTGGTTGTGTGGTATGTTGGAAAGAGGACTGGCTTTGGAGACATTGGAAATGGCAGATCTTAGATGAAAGAAATACAGATCATCTAGCCCAGCTTTTGGGCCAGCAAGGCATTTTTTTTTAATTGAAATTTTAAATTGAGAGAATTACATGCAGTTGTAAGAATGAATTCAGGGAGATCCAGCACGCCCTTTACCCAGTTTCTCCCAATGGTAACATTTTGCAAAACAATAGTACAGTATCACAGCCAGGATATTGACATTGATACAATCCACAGATCTTATTCACAGTTCTCTAATTTTACTTGTATGTGTGTGTATTTTGATCTATACAGTTTTATCACATGGAGGTTCATGTATCCAGCATCACAGTCAAGATCCGGAACAGTTCACTGCAAGGATCCCTCATATTGTCTTTAAAACCACACCCACCTCCCTCCTGCTGCTCCCCTTAGCCCTGGGGCATTATCTGTTCTCCATTTCTAAAACTTTGTCATTTCAAAAATGTTATATAGATGGAATCATACAGTATGTGATCTTTTGGAATTGGCTTTTTTTCACTGAGCATAATTCTCTGGAGATTCATCTGAGTTGTCACATGTATTGTGTCAATAGAGCACTCCTTTTTATTGCTGAGTAGCATTCCATGGTATGGATGTACCACAGTTAACCATTGTTTAACCACAGTGAACCGTTTAACCACAGTTCACTTGTTGAAGGACATCTAGGTTGCTCCCAGTTTTTGGCTATTAGGAGTAAAGCTGCTCTTAAACATTTTTGTACATGTGTTTGTGTGAACATACATTTTCATTTCTCTGAATGCCATGCCATTGCTTGGTTGAATGGTAGTTTCATGTTTTATAAGAAACTGCAGGCAAAAATTTTTGCCTTTCTTGTTTTATGGATAAGGTTTGCCATTTGCAGGCTGTGAGACCTGGGGACATCACAAAGGTTCAGTTTCCTCATCTGTGAAATGGGGATGCTGGTAGTACCAGCATCACAGGGTTGTGGCCAAGAAAGAGTGAGTCCATCATGGAAGGTGTTTAGAACAATGCTTGATGAATGAGCCAGCTGAGGCGTTGGCGATAGAGATCAGCCTTGGCCAGAGTTTGGATTTTGGTATGTGATCATCCCAGGGGGATTTTGGAGTATGACAGCTTGAGGGAGATTTTTTTTTTGTGAGGAAGAGCAGCCCAGAGCTAACGTCCATACCCATGTTCCTCCACTTTACACAGGACGCTGCCACAGCATGGCTTGACAAGCGGTGCGTCGGTGTGCGCCCGGGATCCGGGCCGGCGAACCCCAGGCAGCCACAGCAGAACGTGAGCACTTAACTGCTTGTGCCACCAGGCAGGCCCAGCTTGAGGGAGATTTTGAGATGTATTAGCTCTGTGACCTTGGTAGCAAGTTACTTTCCTCTCTGACCTCAGTTTCCTCGATTGTAATAGGAGGATAACGTGTGAGGAGTTTTGGTGTGGGCTTGGCACCCAGCAGATGCTCAGTAGAGAGTAACTGTTGTTATTGGTTATTAAATAACTCACTTTTAGACACGTGCTTAGTAAGAGGTGGAGATAGGTTAGTTAGCTCTAGGGTCTAGGTCTCCTTCAGCTTAGGGCAGCACTGTAACTAGCTGGGGGGCCTTGAACAAGCCATCTGATCTGTCTGGCTTTGGTTTCTCTGTAGAATGAGGCCACTGGACTAAATAATGTCTGAGTCTTTTCAAGTGGTACAGGTCCGTGAATCAGGTGTCAGGGTGCCCCATCCCATCTTCACGCCCCCAGCACATGGTCCCTGTCTCCCCCCGAGAGCACAGGGACTTTAGTTTGACTTTTCTTTCTTCACCCTGTCTGGGGCTGCATCATCTCTAGCCCCCTTGAGCTGAAATCTGTACTAGTGTACGCGCTGAACTTGTGTTCATTCACCAAGCATTTACGGAGCATGTAGCAGTGGGCTCGAAGGCTGTTGATTCACAGATGGACATGTCTGAGAGGGTGGGGCCCACAGTGGCTGAGCACCAGCCTGTCCCAAGATTGGGACCCATGTTGTGTGGATGAGGAGACAGATAAGTGACAGTCCAGGTTGGGGGAGATAAACAATGGGCCCCCTGGGCTCTGACATCGGAGCAGATAACTGCTCAGGGATGCTGGGGTGCAGGAAACGCTTGCCGAGGCTGACACTTGAGCTGTGTCTGTAAGAATGAGAGGTCAGAAGAAATGCTGATATTCATACCAAAACATACAGATTTTTTTTTTTTCCAGTTTACAAGAGGACAACAGAATTTTGTTTTCTCACTTCCTGATTGTTGTTTGCTGGCCATTTGATCTCTTGCGGTAATCCAAACAAACCGATCAGGTGTCTTCCCTTTGAAGGTTTCCCAGAATGAAGCCTGCTCAGGGAAGAGATGATTTTTACTCTCTATTTTACCTTTTCTTTCCCACCCCTTTTTCTTTTTAATTTTAATTTTTAAAAAGTTTTTTTTTTAAAATAAGCTTTAATTTTTAGTTTAGTTTTAGATTTACAGAAAAATTATGTGGTTTCTCTAAACCCTATACACAGTTTCCCCTATTATTAACCTCTCACAAGACTATGGTACATTTGTCACAATTAAAGAACCAATATTGATACATTGTCAATCTGTATCAATATTAACTAAAGTCCATACTTAATTCGGTTTTTAACCTAGTGTCCTTTTGTTCTGCAGGATCCCATCCAGAATAGCACACTACATTAATATTTATGCATCCTGTATCAAACTCAGCTCAAAGAAAATGTTCTTTGTATTTTTAGGGAAAGAAATATTAGTTTAGAACCTTTAGGAAAAATTTCCCATAGAACCGCGGTTCTCACCCAGATTTGGGGGGGAGGGGCAGTTTTGCCCCCTAGGGGACATTTGGCAATGTGTGGAGACCTTTTTGATTGTCTCACCTCTGGGAGAGGGGCTGCTGCTGGCATCTAGTGGTGGCGGCCAGGGATGCTGCATTGCATCCTGCAATGCGCAGAACAGCCCCCGCCACCCCAAGGATAATCTGGCCCCAAATGTCGGTGGTGCCAAGATTGAGAAAGCTTGTCCTAAAATGGTGAATTCTAAGAAATCATTGTGCGATTATAATGTAAAGGGATGGATATATTGGTGTGTGGTCTGTTTCCTGTTATGCTGCATGTCGTGTGCGTTTTCTTTGGACTTAATCTCTGGCCTGCCCTGTGCTCTCATCAAGTAATTATCGTGTCCTGTTAGGTACAGAATGGAAGCATCCTACTCTTCCAAGAGGAGTTGCTCCAGCCATACATTTGGAGAGCCTGGTGGATTTTTCCCTCCACTTTAGAAGTCATCTCAGAGCCAGGTCTAGTTAGAACATTTGGTTCCTTTGCTGGGACTAGGAAGTTTATTAAGTTGTGGAAAGAACTGTGGGGATTAGTGTGAAGTGTTAGAAGCTTTTACAGCATGTTGAAGGAGTTTTTCAGAGTTCTTGCTTGAGAGCATTTAATACTCAATCAAAAATTATGTATTTAGTAAGGACTGTGTGTAGCACAATGATGTAAGCTTAGCATGTGTCGAATCAGTGTAAAATGGAAACCCCTCCCTCAAGGAACTGCAGTGGGTTAAGGAGATACTTGTGAGATAATTTTTATATTAGACCAGTGTTTCTCAGACTGTGTTCCACCATCTTCTGAGACATGTGGTTAAAGAAATGTGGGGAAGATGTGTTAAGCTTCTTTATAGGTAGGCTTATCAGAGCTGGTGAATCAGAGCCTTTAAAAGACGTGGATCTC